CTCCTCCTCCTCCTCCTCCTCCTCCCAGGAGACCTCTAGCCACCACCTAAAGGTAAAGGTTCCCTTGCTCGAAAGCCAGTCGAATCCGACTCTAGGGTTGCGGTGCTCATCTCCGTTTCAAAGCCAAAGAGCCAGCGCTGTCCGAAGACATTTTCGTGGTCATGTGGCCGGCATGACTAAACACCAAGGTGCACTGAACGCTGTTACCTTCCCACCGAAGTGGTACCTATTTATCTACTTGCAATTTCTTGCTTTCGAACTGCTAGGTTGACAGGAGCTGGAACTAGAGACGGGAACTCACCCCGTCATGCGTCACCCGGGTCTCGAACTGCTGAACTACTGACCTTTCACAGCCTGCAGTTCAGCGTCTTAACCTATCTTATGGATTGCCCAATCCATAAGACATATTTGTCCCTGTAAATTCATATCCGGGGAGGTGTTATGACGCCTCACGTGAAGATAAAATATCACAGAAATCAATCATGAACATTAATTCTCCTTCCTCTGAGGACTGTGTCACATTCTAGCATTACTCAGCACTCTGGTTTTAATGGAAATAACCCCAGTTTCAAAGGTACAGGATCTCCCTGCACAACCACTGGGCAGAACAAAAACTAAGTTAAACAGTAACTAACTTGGGGTGAACAGATACTAGAAGAAGCCTCTAGAAGTTCCAGACTGTTTACAAGCTTCTAGAATTACTAGTTTACCTCAGGTCCCTTTCACAGATTCAGGCCAGATCTCTTGTAAGCTGCCTGTCCTTCAGTTCTGTGTCTATTTTCGTATGTAAATACTTGCCAGAAAAACACCGCCACCCCGTGCATGGTTGGTAGCTCAGCTTTCCGTGTGCCTAACTGTGGCCAGCAAGTGGAAAGTCACATGTAACAACACTGTGAAAAGTACATGGATACCTATTCTTAGACCAGGAATGTATACAGAGCCTCACTGTGGTACCTAGTTAAGTCATCTCTAGATAGCAGTGACAGTGCCTTGGTGCTAAACAAACCTGAAAAATCACCCCCTGTGAATTATTTCGCCAGCGAATGAGCCAACCCAAGAAGGTTTAATAGCTGTTTTTTTAAAAAAATTAGTCTTGTTTGTTTGTTTGTTTGTTTGTTTGTTATATTTATACCCCGCCCTCCCCCGAAGGGCTCAGGGCGGCTTACACGGCAAGAAACTTGCTCATAAAAACATCAATACAATAATAGGTTTTAAAAACCACAATATACAATTTAAAACCCAACTACAATAACAATAATAAAAACAATAAAGTGCTCAAGCTACATCCATTCCGGAAAGAGTCAGAGAGGGGAGACCACACACCCAAACATCCCCCAGTAGGCATTGTGTAATAAATATTAAACAGATGTTCCTGCCCTCTTCATATTCACGGTCTAGCCATGGAAAGTTTCAGCTGAGAATAAACAACCCCCAGCGACTGAAGGCAGGGAACGAATAAGGTAAACTAATCTGCCGCCATTTTTCACTGCAAATGTGAGCTTTTAGATTGGGGGAGAGGTTTCGCCTGGGTTTTGCCTGTTATGTGTTTAGCCACTGCAGTTCACCGGAGACAGCCATGGAAGGGACAAGTTTATAGATTTTGTGTTTTATCTGAGGGGGGGGGAGGCTGAAATGCCATACAGCAGCTGCCCTTCTTCACTCAAATGTACCACAGCTTTGAAAATTCGTTTTCTTTTCCTTCGACAGCAATGGTTGTTGAAACTGCTGCTCTTTTACAAAAAAAAAAAAAAAAAAAACTAAACTAAATCAGGCTTGATTTCAACATGACGCTGGCAAAGCAAAGGGACTTTTCCTGTGGGATTTTTTTCGTTCTCCCTGTGTCTTGCTGAAACTGAGTCACTGCATGTTCAGACCAGTTATGTGCCATGCTCCCTCTAAGCCGTGGAATCTTGTGAGCAGAAATTCTACTTTGTGAGAATTCTACTTTTATTATTCTACTGGCATTAAAGTTGTGAGCCAGCAATTTGGCTGCGGCATAAATTAGTTTGCTCTGGAGCCCTCCTTCCCTGAGCAAAGATAAGAATGCGTGAGCCGGAGGCTAAAAATCTGTGAGTTACCTCACACTGACTCAGCTTAGAGGGAAAATTGGTTATGTGTCCCGCATAGATGTTCTGCTAGGGTTGCCAACTGGATTTTGGCCGGGAGCGGGGGGCTCCCGGCCGGCGTCTAAATCGTGCGCGCACACCGCGTGCGCGCCACCCCCATTTGAGGGGAAAACAAAGAGTTTTCCCCTCAAATGGCATGGCCCCGCCCCCAGCATGCGATGTCACTTCCGGGTGGTGTGCACGCAGGGGTGGGGTTTCCCCCGGGCCCCGATTCTGCGGGAGCGGGAATCGGGCCTTGAAAGCGGGGGGAAATCCGCCCCCCGGGGGGATTTGGGAACCCTATGTTCTGCTCCTGTAGCAGCCCAGTTTGAACAAGACACTGTGGGAGCACAAAGTCCCACAGGAGAGTGCTTTTCCCTCAGACGGCATTATGTTTAGATCAGGCCTTAACCAAGACTCCTGCATCCATCTTATCGAGCAGAATATTATGGAGATGGAACCGGGGGTGGACGACATCCTGGCAGACTTCAGCACAAAGTAAACAGAAAAGAATCTACAGTCCCAGTTCTTCTCTTGGTTGATATGAAAGCAAAAATCAATGGCCGAGTAAATAAATGTATCATTTTCCCTA